ACTGAAGAAAAAAGCATACCAAAAGACTAAAAAAATTAAAAAGTTGCCCAAAAATTTTGAGTATTAGGTGCATTTGGAAAGAATGCATGCCCTTACTTGTTAATCGTACTTACAATACTTGTACTCTAACCCAACTGAAAATAGTGGATTGCAACAGGAATGGGAGCTGCTGATTTCAAATAAAATTTAGAGACTGTGTTTCCCCCATCACAGCTCCATCAGCATGGGTTGTAGTTTATTGGTACTAAACCCAGTTTGGCATTATTTTGAGATAGTAAAACAATTGGTTTTCCTCTTAATTAATATGCATTCAAGTCTGCAAATTCCATTAGCCTTTCCTGGTTACTGCATAGAAGGTAAAATTCAAGATCTTGAGTAGGAAACATTCAACACAGTTATTTATTGAGCATTTCCAAAGACAATTACAGCAAACCTTGGATGTCTACACAAAATTGTCTACAGCCTGGTGCAGCAGAAGCAAAAGTTTTTGTGCATTTTATCTTAAATTGGATACATTAAAAAGTTGCAAACAAGTAATGCTTGGAGAAGACTGTTCCAAGACAAGGCACACAAGTGAGATGAACCTCTGATGCTGCCCTCAGAAGTCTGAGGTACGACCACCACAGTTCCCCTGTGAAAGCTGGCTCATGTACAGGAGCCCGCGGAGGCAGGACGATGGCTGCAGCATCAGTACAGATGGAGGCATTTGCCGGTGGCCTTTGACATTCAGAATTCAATAACTAGATCATGTAACTCTTCACAGAGATCAAGGGTAGGGAAGAAAGGTTGATCTTAGCCACCAACCTCAAGCATTCCTCATTGCTATGAAAACAAAGATGGTTTCAAAATTTAAGAAAAACCTCAAAATCTACTGTTTTATATTTTAAAATATCTCAGATTTTGTCCTGTACCTATATAAAGGACCACTTCCCTAAAAAGAATCATAGCCTTTGCTATTTATCCCTCTCATTAATTTTCTGGATCATATAGGAAACCAAATAGCCCATTCTACTTAATTAATATGAGCACACTGCATAATGCATACAACTGGAAAAGAAACAACTAGTTCAGTTTCTTATCTGATATTCAGAATATGCTGTGAAAACTATTTTGATCCCTTTCACCAAAGAACACTTTGTAAGTTTTACCTATTTTCTTCACAGGTGAAATAGTTTTTCAGATCAATATTAAGGAGCTGATGATTGCTTCAAAAAAAAGTTAGGTATATCCGTTTGCTCGGAGAAATCCTGAATGGATTTCTCATCATTCTGACTTTCCTCCTCTAAAATTTAGAGCTGCTGTTCGACTCCTCCTGTGTCTGTATATATACTCTGACTTTACACTACTTCTAAAACCTTCCTTTTTGTGTGTAAGTATGTTTAGTCTTTAGAGACTATTTCACACTCATCACATTTATGCAGATACTGAGCTATTCACACCCAAATTTTACAGGAGCACTTTGCAGTGCCAGAAGCAGATGTAGTGGCCTGTTTCTTTAATCCATTTCACCTTGCATAATTTCCAGGCAATAACCTTATATTCTGAACTGAACCACAGGATATTTCAGTAATAGAAGAGTCTGCGGTTATAAAGTATTTAAAGACATTTCAGTGACACTTAACAAGGAAATATTTAGTCAATCCACTACTATTACAGTAATGCTCAAATTGCCATCTGGAAGACCCAGATTCAAAAATCAGTCTCTGGATCCCAGGCTCTGTTCACGAAGGCCGAATGCATTGTAAAGAAGATGCAATTAGTCTCCAGGGAAAGGCTTATGCAGGCTGTCATTGGCTATGCAGCATGCAGCACGCTCACTTGTGTGGATAAAAATAACATATTGAAATGGCAGCTGCTCAGCAAAGGAAGAGGATTTGAGCAGGGATAAAAATATACCTTAAAAAGAGGAAAAAAATGGTAAAATGCCTATCAAAAGCATTAAAAGGTAGTATTGAATGTACTGGATCAGTGATACTTAAGATTCAACTTTGAACCTCAAGCAGGACACACTATTTATTTCATATAGCAAGACAACCCAAGAACATAATTATTACTGTCCTAAATAAATCCAAGGCTAGCACAGCCTAATCACCTCAGTCAATAAGTATACACTGTGAATGGATTTTGTTAAATTTTGAAGAATCCCTATCTATAATTTTATTACAGGATCCAAAACCTGCTGCTCTGAAGATACCATTTAAAGATAGAAATTATTTCCAAGAGACAGTGTGTTCCAAACTATAACTGGTGTCTATTATATCCATACTCTAAGTTGTTTTGAAGGTATATTTTAACATAGTACCTCTTTCTCTTCAAGTCCATTACTATATGAAATGGAGTGGTGTTAGAAACTCATGTTGAGTCAATATTAAAGCCTCTCAAAGACTCACAAGATAGCAGGGAGACCTATTAGATCATCTAAATTATTTCCATGCCATTCTGAGATTGCTCTCTACAGTATGTTTTATTAGTGTCTTGCCCAGGCTATTTTTAAAGTCTCAAACCCAGAAGCTTTTCCTTTCTGAGAGTATCCAACTTTAGCTTAAAAGCACTGTATGCACTGATTAATCCATTTAAAATGCAAAATGAAAAACTTCTTGTGGATCTGCTTATTTAAGCGCTGGTATTTGAAATGGCAAGCGAGATTTGAACTGACAACCATAATTTGTCGTATTTTAAGATTTCTAGATCCAAGGTTTTTAAAGATTCCTTTCAATCAGTTTAAATAAAGACGAGGCAAAAAGAGGACTGAAAACAGGAGAGAGACAGAATCTGTGTTAAGACATAATCATATACCAACTGATACAGATCAAAAAAAAAAAACCAACAGAAAAGTATTGTGATCACACGAGCCCTTCTTCAGACTTGACTTATGTTTTGTACCAGCAAGTGACAATTTTTCCAGCTGTATCAGTTGGTTTAACTAAAGGTATTTCTTCTCCATATAAAGCCCGCCCTACTTACGGATGATTACTGCAGCATTACCACAACATTGTAGGTGCTAGTTTGAGTAAAGGTCCATTCTTAAGTATATTACAGCAAATAGGTTACTATATGCTATGCCAGATAAGCAGCAGTCAAATTCAGTGTACTACATATTTCAATATAAGGAAACAATGTTTTTGCAGAGAAAATCTGTGAAAAAATGAGACTTCACAACGAAGTATTTCACATAGGATCACTTAAATTTTTCATCTCAGCATTGAGGCTTTTTCTTTACAGTTTTGTAACTATTAACCATGAAACAGAACAATTTATAAAGAACTTAAGAAATAATTCCCAGAACTGTGTTTCACTCAGTATGATACGAGGCACACAAAACTTTAGACAAACCACAGATAACTGCAGAGGGGATTAACAATCAAGCTCAAGCAGGAATTAACGTGTATCAACTATATGTATTCTTTGCTGACACGCTTACTCCATCATTCTTAAAGCATGGCAAGCACTCAAAAAATATAATTTCAATTACAAAGAATCTTTTAAAAGTATTTAAACTAAAAATCATACTACTGTACAAAGCTACCCTTGTTTAGTTGCTGAATATAAATACATATGAACCTGATTTTGTTAAATTCAAATTTAAAGGGAAATTTTATTTGTTCTACAGTTATGTCACCTTGGGTTGTTATCTTTCAGGATTTTAGCAGCCCAAACCTGGGTTGGGCCTGCCTGACAGCTGAACAGAAGGTCTCAGGACAAATCCCGGGTGCTGCAGTCAAGGAAGGGCACCTGATCCTTGGTTCAGTATACAATGCTGGGGGCACAGGATGTTGCCAGACAGCATATAAAACAAATAAAAGCTATTACAACTTCTCATTAATAACAGCCTGGCCCCACCACATAAGGAAGAAATGTATTTTGGTTTTTAACTCATTTGGCATTACTTCTATCTACAGCAAGCTCTCTTTGTCATTTCAACAGGAAAGTGTATTTCTTGGTGTTTCTCATCACCCTGAATTGCTGTACAGTACTGGGGAGGTGAAATGCAAGCTGCATTTCAGATCATGGTGAATGCAATAAATGCAAGTTATTGCCAGTTTATCAAAGGTTGGTATACTGAGCAAGAGTCACTATTAAAACAAATCAGATTTCATTAACACCACAAGCCTTGATATCAAGAGAAATTTACTTTCAGAAACCATAAACACAGGCTTGGGTTTTTTTAGTGGTCTCACGACTGGTAACAAAACTGAATGCTTAGATAAGGAGCATAAGTAAGAGTTTGACTACTTTTACTTACACAAGTAACCATCGAACTGAAATAGATTACTCATACAGAACAAGAATAAGAAACTAGACTTCTGAATTCTATACCACAAGCAGTTTCTATTCAGGTTTAGATGAAATATGTAGACAATGCTTTGAATATTTTGTAAGTTGAGATATTTTCCAAGGAAGATTACCTTTGCCAAAAAAAAAAAAAAAAAAAAAAAAAAAGAAATCCTAGCTGCAAGTCAGTTAAACCCCTTTTTCCTTTCAAATGGTACAAAGAATTCTGCAATTCAAAATCCCAACAAAAAGAGAGGTAAAGAACTAAAAAAGATTGTGATGAAATACTCAGTGTTCTTCTTAAAATGACAGTTAAATCTCATTCTTCCCCAAGACAGAAAGAACTATGACTTCAGCAGGAAAACTCTATTATGCAAACAGTAAAAAGTTGTATCTCGCTGAGCAGCACAAGATTCCTGAACTTGGTCATTTTTACAGGCTGCACACATTGTATCTATTAAAAACAACACTGGCAACTTACACAAAAGATCAGCTTATGTTTGTGTTTCACATTGTTTTGTATATAGACAAAACACACTCAAGTGCTCATGTGTTGCAATAGCTTCATCTAAAGACAAGTGAAAAAAAGGAGGCCTACTGAGCTAACCAACACGCATTAGGTGCACAACATAACTTCACTTTTCCTAACCAAACCTGAAGTTTCTTATTCCAAATAAGCATGCCTTCCCAATTATTTACTGCAGGAAATAGTCTCTTTCTAAATTTACCTTTCAGCGAATCATTTTCAGCTCTCATTATGTCAATTAGGGAGTTCTCCAGTGAATGCATGTCAAAAGTCCTTGTTCGATCCTGCAAGCAAATACAAACAAAGCCAGTTTAGGCAACACAGGGTGTTACACAGGACCACCTGAAACATAAAAACTTCAGTTTTGTTCTACATTGCTACAGCAGAATTAAGCAAAAATGTACACCACTATAGGCAGTCTGATATAGGAATATTAAAAATCAGAATATTTGTAAAGATTAATCTGATCTATATTTATCATAACCAGTCATTTAAGAATACCAATTCAATATTTAGTTTGTATTCATTGCTATACAATTAAAACTTTGTTAAAAATAATTTCACAGTTAGATAGTAGAGATCATATCCTGGGTGACAGAATTGCAAGGAGAAATCATAAAGTAGGTATTTCAGACTGAATTTAAGACAATCTGAATTCCAGAAACACACCATTTCCTTCACCTAAACTACTACCTCAACTACTTAAATAATCTAATTTTGCACAGTCAGTTCAAATTCTGCATAATTACAAAGTATTCTATATAAGCAGTAGCGTTCCATATAGCCTGGTTTGCTAGGTGACAACTTAGCTCTGATTTTCAATTCCCTGACTTCACAAGTTTGGTATTCCAAGCATTACCAGAATTGAAGGAGGACTCAATAAATGGGAAGCAAGATGTCTCATGTACCTTACTGTTTCATTATCTCAAGCCATTTGAAGTATACTTACCAAATATTTCTCTTTCATATTAACCAAAGACATCATTTAACACATGTATGGTTCAGAGTTTCCCAACTAAAGCAATAAATTCCATACGGTACAAATCTGACTCTACATTAGCGTAAGACAACATAAAATACCTGGCACTGCGTTGCTTGAATTAACAAATTCAGAATCACTGAAATTATATATAAACTTTGAAATCTTTACAGTATCATAAAAGGTCACTAATGGAGGCAAAAAATCATTCTCATTCCTAAAATTATTCACCTATCCATGTTATCTATGTATTTATACATTTGGACATTTGTAGAAACACGTGTATAGAATTTTATATATATGAATCCACCTTGAATTTCATTTCCCTGTGTCCAAGAACTCTAACATCAGCTCTAAAGATTTTATTTCATTCATGTTCTAAGAGATTCACCTCTGAACTGAGATCAACCATGGAAAGCATCTGTTCAAATAAGAAAGCAAAATGTGAGCAATTCAAGATAGACATTTGCTCTAAACCGCTTCTCTACAACTGTTGTTATTACAGCAGTGAATATATATTTTTTGTCCCTAACTCTAGCTGTGATGCTGAAATTTCTCCAAAGCACACAGATCCAGCTTTGATCATTTTTAAAACCAGTGGTAAAGTAAAAAACAGTATTGCACAAAGACTGTTGTGTATCAAGTTATAATGTCCTTTACTTCCAGTGATGAAGTGCTGAAGCACTGTTGATTGGAGTGTTGCAAGAGGCATTCTTTATATCAGACAATGATCAGTCACCTTGGACTTTAAACACCTAATATTATTTTAAGAGCAGGAACCCACTAGCTCCTAGAGTCCTGATCCATTTCCAAGTTCATAAGTTACATTCCGACCACTAAAAAAATACTATTTTTCAATTAAATTTTCTGATATTTTTCCTCTCTTCAGAACAGTTTATTACTGACACAGAACAAGTATTTCTACCCAGATGTTCTGCATTTCAAATAGCATTAGAAAGACCAGAGTTTGGAATCATTTGCTTTATTAGTCTAACCCAATATCAAATTTGCTATAAAAAGCATAGCACTGCCTTGTCTCTCCACAGTATTTATTTCCTTGGTTATTTGTATTACAAGGTGGTAGAGGCACCTTGGAGAAGCTATAATGAGCATTTAAATTCTAGGTTTTACTTTCACATACTTCCTACTGGTTGCTTCCTTTCCTAGTAGTACATAGTTTATTGTTTTGGTTTATGCATTACTAGTTCACAACTATTTCAAACTATAGTTACAACAAAATAGCCTAGCAGGATTGAGTAAAAGTCCTTGGGTCTGCATCCCGGCATCATTTGGATCCAGCAGCTGTGTAACTCAGAAATGGATGCTAGAAGACAATCTCTACATTTTCAGCAGTCATCACAACATGATCAAAATAGCCTAAAACAGAGGTGGGAGCATTTTCTGAAAATCTGACATCCCTCAGTAGCTACTCCTTCCATTCTGGCTTTCACAGTGTACTGTATGTCTCTGTGTGGAATTAACCTGAAGTCCAACACATGAACAGCTAGAAAATTCGTATTTCACAAAGTGCAGAACCTCAGTAGTTCCAAGTCTTTGTTGAATTTGTAGCACTTAACATTTCAGTTGTCTGAGACACATGAAGGAAAAAAAAACAGGCTGAATAACTTCTAATTTATTGTGCTGTGTATGCACTGTAGTAGATGAGCCCAAAGATAGTCTTGTCTCTAAAATGTCTGTGTTATGTTGGGTTGAGCTATAGTAAAGAACAGAGGGTTTTGCTGCAATGGGAAGTTTTTAATATCGAGAACAGAGAGTTTAAACATTTGAGGAAAAAAAAAAAAAAAATTGAACTGATAAGGACACCACAGTCTCCAGTGGAAGCTTTTTGTGGTGAGGAGCTTATTTTCCCCTTCTGAGTGAACCAGCTAGCTATCACTTTTGTAATATAAGGTCCATAAGTTTCTAATCATACTGCAAACATTTTAAAACACAATTCTGTGCTCTGATGCAGAAGATTAACTGCTCATATTCCTACCTGCAGCTATTAGCAATAACATGAAGAGGAGGACTGGCTAAAATGCAGCCCACATTCATACTCTGGCTCTCCACTATTTCCAGTAACTTGTCACAGCAATGGAGAAGACTGCATAGGCTAGAGCACCCTCGGAACGCTGATAGGTTACTATCCATTTCCTGCCTGTCTTGCCAACAAAAGGTCTCTGTGCTTACAGCATGCCTAATCATCATTGTCAATTCACGGTGCTGAACTGCCACAGCCTCAGCACCCTTGGGAAGATCAGTCTTATTCCAGGGTTGTTTGAAACAGCTTGCTCGAAACAGCTTGCTCCTCCATGTCTGCTTATCAATTAGAAGACGGCAAACCACGTTAAGCACAAGACTATGAGCTGCTACTGCTGTTACATTGAATTTGGATATATTCCTGACATTAAAGCAGCAGTCCACATCTCTGGAAATGCAGAGTAATTCAAGAATTTGGTGTATAAGTAAACCTGTATACATCGATTCAGTTAAAAGATGTTGGAGTGATGTATGTCCTAAATATAAAGACCAGCCAAAATGCTGTGCTCAACTGATTCAGACATCTGCATAGTGTTTATTATAAAATTAATTTAGTTGACTACTTACCCTGATACTGAAAGGGTCCCACTACTAAAGAAAGTCACCTTTGGTCATCGTTTACAATTTAAAGGCCTTTTATAATGAGATTTCTTTGAAAACAGTAGTACAAATTTTGCCAGTCTTAACTTACAAGATGGCCAGCAATACATTATATCTGAAATATATGTATGTATTATATACCTAACATAAAGACTGATGACAGGTTAGTGGTAGTGGTCATACCGCTGAAGAAATGTGCAACTATACATTTAATTCCATAACACTAAAAAAACTGAACAGTCAAGATATTGATTATTAACTGGTAACTAAATGGGAGCTGATCTCAGCTACATCTTAGTTAGGAGTTATAAAGCACATAATCCATGCTGCACTTGGAAAAAAAGTGAGGTTTTTTTCAAAAGACTCCATGTAGAGAGAATTAATAACAATATGCTGGTAGTTTTAAAGGATCAGTTCACAGATCTACAGTGCTTTCCATGGAGCTGGATTACTTACGGTATACTTCATAATTTGTTTATAAAGAAAAGATATAAGGGTAAAAACTACCCTGGAATAAAGCAGAGCATGTAGACTTTACTAACAAAGTAAGTTAGCTACTGCCTGATATTATTTACCCAGATTGATCACAAGAACTTGGCTTTACACAACTTTGTTTAGGGCATCTAAAACTTTTTATCAGAAGACTCAAAGGGCACACGCGTTTATCCTTGGGAAACAGAACTGAGTCAGAAAGGCATCAGGTTGAACACAAGGCCACCAAAAAAACCCCCTCAACCTGCAGTCTTAATACATGACTGTTTAAAATGTCAGCTAACATTTCAGAAGACTTTAATTAAACATAATTTTGAATAAGCAGTATTGTTTTCACAATAATATAAATGAGGTGACAGCTAGCAGATCTGGTTAAGAGAGAGCTATTGAGACTGTAAATACAACAGCAAACACAATAGTTTTCAACTATACACTGGCCAAGCTCTGTCTATAGGAAAATAATTATGATTCTCCTACTGTCTAGAAATCATTTGGAAGTATGCAGAGTGCTCATAACAATGTAATCTCATTGTTAAAGCACAGAGAGTTAGAACTCAGGACTTCATGTCACAACTTTGTCTTTGCGCTCATACAGCATGGGCAAACCACTTCATCTCTGTGACTACAGTGGCTTCCCCACTAGCACCCAGACAGATTATGTTGTGTTTAGAGGTCTGGTAGAAAAATGGAGCCACTTGCAAATAGGAAATCACTAAATTCTGAAAAATAAAATTGGAATAGGAATCAAAGTCCAAAAACATTTCATGCCAAAAAGAAAACTGCTTGGTACTAATCATGTACAATATATACTGGGACATCCTCCTATGCAAAATAAATTAAACATGAATTTTTCATACACAGGCAAATCATACTTTGCACTTAAAATCCCATAACTGAATTCTTTGCACACCAGAAAAATGTACATCTAACAACTTTAAAATGCAGATTTATTATATTTAATCTGCACCCACAGCATTATCATCACCTGAACAATTAAGATTCCAGAACCTGAGAGTTTCTATTCAGTGCTTCCCACGATGGGCCTCCCAGTGCTAAAAACACAAACTGTAGAATTAGTAAAGCCTGGCAAGGTATGAGCCCTTGCTGGTAGCTAAGGCTGTGTCTCATCTTATAAAATATGAATTTTCTGAAGAGCAAGGCATCAATAATAAT